TTAATTCTCCATCACTGATGAAACTGAGCTTGGCTGAACAGGAAATTTTTGGTTGAAAGTGTTTATCTTTGAGGACTTTGAATATAGGGCTCCAGTCCCTTTTTGCTTGCAATGTTTCTTCCAGTAGGTCTGCTGCTATTCTGATTGGTTTTCCCCGGTAGATAATCTGACCTTTCTCTCTTGCTACCTTTAGGATTTTCCTTTTGTACCTACTTTGTGTAGGTGAATTACTATGTGTCCAGGGGTTGGTCTTTTCCTTGATGTCTTATGGGGGTTCTCTGTATCTCTTGTGCTTGACTGGTCACATTTCTGGTGAGATGGGGAAAGTTTTCTCGGTTGTCTCCTAGAATACTTACTCCAAGTTGTTTTCCGTTTCCCTTCCTTATTCTGGGATACCAATCAGGTGTAGGTTTGGCCTCTTGACATAGCTGCATATCTCTTATAGGCTTTGTTCTTTCTTTTTGCGTTTCTTTCTATGTTTTTTAAAGATTGAGTTAATTCCATGTTCTGGTCTTCAGGTTCTGAGATTCTTTCTTCAGCTAGATTAATTCTGCTTTCCATGCTTGTCGTCTTATTTATTTCCTGGATGACATTTTTTACTGCCAAAATCTCGGTTACAAGTTCTTTCAGTGTTGCACAGTGTCTTTCTTATGAGTCTTTTTCTCTCTTTCCATCCATTCCCTAATCCCTGTTACATTCTGGGACCAGTCATTGGTGACTTCCATTGTTTGGGCACCAAGGTCTGATTTTTTTCAGGAGGTTTGTCTTTGGTATACTTGAAATTGCCTGAGATCTTCCTTTGGTTTTTCCTCATTTGTGACAGATCTCTTGTTTTTCACTTTAGTTCTGTTATTCAGTGTCAGTGGGAGAGGCTTTCCCTTCTGTTGTTTGCTCAGTTCTCTGTTCTTCCCTAATCTGGGCTCTGCATTTGTTCTCTTTTGAAATAGGATGGTGGATGGGAAGCTTTGCTGTCTTTGGTAGTTTTTGAAATTTGAATAAGGTTGAGGATGGGGCACTAGGATTCAGAAACAACTTGCATATTACAATGTTTACATATTGTTGTATGTTTTCCCCGAGACTCACTCCCCACCACCACTCTATATGATGATGCGAAGCTGAAACCAATGCAAAAAGTAATTGAATACACACACACATAGACATACACACCCCCCAAAACAAATTGGAATAACAACAAATTGAAACAAACAACAACAAAAGGCAAGAAAACTAAACACACACACACACACACACACATGCCTAGCACAAATTGAATAGAAAAATGGAAATATTGAAGGAAAAAAGGAAAAAAAAGGAATTCAGGTTGAACCCTCACCCCTCACACATATATTGATACATACCTTAAATTATAAAAAAAGAAAATTTAAAAAAACTCAGAAGCACTAGGGGCAAAAACCAACAACAAAATTGAAAGATGAATATGCCATCATTCACATATACACATAAGCAGAAAATGACAAATAAAAGAAGAAACAGATAAAAGAAAAAAAATTGGGGGGATGCAGATGAAAACCTCACATACACATTCATGCACAAAGGAAAAATATTTAAAAAATAAATGAACTAACGAAGAAGCAGTCAAAATAATTTTAAATAATTGAAAAATTAAAAAAAAAAAAACCTGCCCTCTTGTGGCAGGCTCTGTAATTGTTCCTCTAATCAGGTATCTCCTGGAGAGCCTCCTCTTTCACTCTCTTCAGTGTTCCAAGCAGGGAAGGAGGAGGAGCAGTGGAGGTGGGTGGGGCTCAGTCCTCCCCTCCCACTTTTGTATGATCAGGGAGTTCTCCTCTGGTGGGGAGGTATGGGATGGTCTCTTCCCCAGGTATGTACTTGGTGGGGATGCCCCAGTCAGACCTATCCTGGAAGGGAGTTCTCCTGTTATGACTGATGTCCCGGCTCTGCCTGGATATCCCTATCAGTGGTGGCCCAGCTGTGTCGGTCTGGCGTTTAGAGTATTGTTGGAGAGAAGGGGGTTTGGGTCGGCCCCAGACTCACCACTGACCCCTTTGGAGTTCCTCCTCATCCTTTTCTGGTCACATCCTTTGTCCCGTGGTTGGATCAATGTAGGGGGTGGAGCACTGGAACTCAGCACTCCTTAGGTTCCTCCAAAGTTTTTACTTTCAGGATATTTCCTCTGGGTCACAATCAATCCCTGAGTAGTTGATCCACCAGTCACAGAGATTGGGTCTGTTCTCCGTGGTGAGCAAGTCAGAGAACTTTCCTGCCCAGCCTTCAAGATGGTGGTGGAATGCCTCTCTTTTACTCTTCCATTGGACTTTGCCTCTGGGCTCTCTCTGCAGCCCCTGCTGCCAGTGCCCTGCCAGGCACTGAAGTAGTGAAGGAATACCAGGAGCTGGCAGTCTCTATTGCTGCAGTGATGAGGGAGAGCCTGGGGCAATCATTTCTCCCTGCTGCTTTTTCACAGGAAAACTTTTGTCTGTTTATAAAAAAATAATCATGCTCGGCTTCTGCAACCTGGAAAGAGCCAGGGATGAAATAGAGAAGGTGCAGCACCAGCTGTTGCACCAGGGGCCTGGCAATCCGCTCATGAGGCCCCCACTTAGTCTCTTCCGGTGTTTTCTTCCCAGGGAGGGTTTGTTGATTAAAAAGAAAAAGAAAAATAAAAAGAAAGTGATGCACTTGGCCTCTGCATCCCAGGAATTGCTAGGGTCCAAGCCCAGCTGCTGTGGCACCAGCTGCTGCATCAGGAGAGCCCTGGCCACTAGCTCCTTAGCCTTCACTCAGTCAGTCACTCACACACCCACTCACTCACCAGCACCTACACAAAATTTCCCATATACTCACTCACTCACATGGGGACTCGCATAGTTCGACTGACTTGGCCACCATCTTCCCCAACCCAGTCCCACAAAGCATTTTAGTACAGAACCCCACCCTAGGAGATGGAGTTCCATAAGTCTTGGCTATTTTCCTCAGATTCATAATGCTATGAGAATCAGGTGAGAGACACAAACCCAAATCAAAGAGAAGCATTCACAAAGAGAGCAGGCCTTCACAGGGAAATTTTTAATACTAATTTCACATGGAGTGGGAGAAGGACCCAGAAATTCCCTAATTCTATTTCTGCTCAAAAGCCATAGAATTTGAGGAACTGATATTCTCAGGAATTGCTACAGTCATCAATTCACTGGGTCAGTGATTTAGGAAAGATCAGGTAACCAGGTTGTGGTCAGAAAACCAATGCCCCTGAGCATGATGACAAAGCTTTAAAATGCCACTAGAAGTCCAAGAGATGGTTGAATCACTGCCAGAATAATAACTCTGCTTAATAATAATTTAGAAAAGATGAATTAAGTTGATAGTATCCTTCTTATGTATATACTGTCTTTTCCCCTCATTTTGGTCTACTTCAACAAAGGCTAAAGTATCAAATCTTTTTTTCTTTCATTTCACCTTACAGAAACAAAGATACTTTTGATTTTATTGTATTAAAGCATAACACATTTCAATTATTAAAAGTCAATAACATGAGAGAGAGAGTATAGCATAGAGGATGAAAATTTTAGAGTCAGACTAGCCTGAATTTTTATCACAGCTCCACCACTAGCTGTGTGATTTTGGACATGATATTTAAGTTTTCTGATTTTCATTTTCTGAATCTAAAAAGTGTGACTATTAATAGGGATCCCAGTGGGAATGCTATGAGGTTGAAATTAGATAATGTATTTAAAATGCTTGGCAAAGTGTCTGACATGAGTACACACTCAAGAAGTAGAAGAATATTATTATCATCATGAATATAGTAACGATATTAACATTATCATTATTAAATGCTGGTTGAGAAAAGTAAAAGTGCAAGGAACCAAAAGAATAAGATACGAATTTTTTCATTGTAGTACAGTATATTGTTCTGATACTTTATTTTTCTTTAAAAAAAACTAATTATGCATATCTGACTTTTCCCTTCCTATACCTCCTATTTTATTCTCTATACCTTTTGGTCACCAACTTAAGATTCTCAACCAGATCTTTTTTTTAGCACAAAACTCCTCATCAAATCCTCTCCTCATGCTGTGCCCTGTGCTTTTGGCTCACCTTTTCATGCTGTTGTCTCCAGGTCTTGGTTTAAATATCACTCTACAGGGAAATCTACCCTGGCTACCCAATCTAAATAGCCAGTCTTTTATTAATCTCATAACACCACCTAGTTTACTTTTTTATTTAGTCAGTTTGTGATACTGTAACAGAATACTGAAGACTAGGTAGCTGAAACAACAGAAATTCATTTCTCACAGTTCTGGAGGCTGATAAATGCATTTCTCACAGTCTAATATCAAGGCATTGGCAGATCTAGTACCTGACAAGGCATTCTTCCTGTTTGTAGATGGTCATTTTCTCACTGTATCCTCACATGGCAGAGAGCAGAGGGAGAGAGGAGGTAAGCTCTCTCGTGTCTTTTTGTAAGGGTGCTAATCCCATTCATGAGGGGCTCCACCCTTATGCCCTAATTACCTCCTAAAGTCTTCATCTCCTAATGCCATCACACTGTGAGTTAGAACTCAACATATGAATTTTGAGGGGACACAAACATTTAGTCCAACGCACCTTTCTAGCACTTTTATGATTTTTGATTATATATTTGCTTGATATTTACTAATTTTCTCCCCTGATAAACTAAACACACTGCCCTATGAGGGCAGTGACCATGTCTGCTTTAATTATTAACATAGGTAGGTTTATTGTAATAAATGCATATTTTATGAATAAATAAAACAAATGTAATACAGGAAGATGCCATGGGGTAAATAAAGCCAATCTATGACTTGCCACAAATAACTGGTAATAATTTTTTAATAGAGTCATGAGGTGATTGAGCCATTGAACTTTCAGGAATGCACAAATAAATAAACTATACAATTATGTTTGTATAATCAATAAATGTGAGCATTCACTAATAAATGTGAGCATTTACTAATGGCTTGAAAATTCATACTTTGCTTTCTTTCCATTTTTTTCTCTAGAATGGTCACATCTGTTGCTCAGTGGATCCACAGTGCCTTCAGGAACTGTGATGTTAACTGTCTCATGGGAGATTTCTGTTTAAAGAATGTTCTTTCATTAAAAAGACCAAAAAAAAAAAAATTAGAACTTAAATTGGATGATCTGTGGGCAGCTAAATGCAACTCTGTTAATAGCTGAGTGAACTTTCAATTATGAAATTTGTGGAGCTTGAGAAAATCACAAAGAAAAATTATTGGGGCAACATTAGATCACAAGTCTGCCTCTACTGTGTCTGACATCACTATGTAGAAGAATGGCTATAGAGTACACACCATGACATCATGACCCCTGGATGGAAAGCCTAAGTCTGTCGAATCTTTGAAGGTCTCTAGCTTCACTGGTGCAGAAAATTTTCCTCTAGATCAGAATCTTCAAGAATCAGTTAGGTTTCTCACTGCAAAAAAAAAATGTAAGGCAGTGAATGAATTATATTTTCAGAAGCAAAGCAAAGAAACTATAACATGTTATGTACAGTACACACTCTGAAAAGAAATCTGAAACAAGTTATTGTAATGATAAAAATAATGCACAGGCATGGTTACTTAATATTTTCTAACAGGAAAAGTCAACCCTATTTCCTTGTTTTACTGCACTAAATATTATTTGGTTGAATTTGTTCAGTATAAGCTCGTTCTTGTGCAAAATGAAATAAATATTTCTCTTACCTTATAACACATGTGAGTCTGAGTGTCTCATTTAATGTGTTTCTTTTTTCTACTGATGGTTCAACATACAAATTGCTTTCTAGTTCCGCTGATGAAAACCTCCTGCTATGTTATTTCCAAATTGAAAGTTAATTTTTACTAAATTATATGCCTAAATGAGAGGTGTTATGTATACCTTAATTCTGCTTCTCTAGGTTCTCAGCTTTATCATTTCTGCTCTGCTCTGTATCCTGGGGGACTGACCTATATATTTTGAATAATGGATTCTCTTGTTCCCTGACTCTTGTCTGGTTTCAATTATACTGTGGTAGGGAACACTGGTGGTGGTAAGGTGTGGATATTTATTCCGCTGACTCCTTTTCTGCCAGGTCACTACCATGACTGGCTGTATCACCTTACTGAGGGGTATATCTCCTGCCACGTGGCCCTCTTTGTTCAACCACCCTACCCAGGTTCTGATAACTTCTAGTTGCATCTTCTGGCTTAGGGATAGTAACAACTTTGCCTATTCTGTCCTTGGGAGAGACCTGCTCCATTTCTTCTTGGCTTCTCTATTTCCAGTCACATCTTTATAAATGGCCCATTTAAAATTCTTTAATCAGCCAGCTTGAGTGTACCATCTGTTTCCTGCCAGGACTCTGACTGATACGCATAAGGAGAGAGTATGCAAGGGTTGAGAATGTCTTCAAGAATTGGTCCTTTACATTTTGATATAAAATTTAAAGACTTTCAATATTAAAAGAGATTGTGATAGCAAATGTTTAATTTTTTGATGCACTAGAATTGGGGAAGGGGAATAAATAGGCTGAAACCCAATAAAAGATGTTAATCCGATACTGCCCTGTCCTTACGTTTTGCACTAGGGTGAAAAAGAAATACAGGTATCATCAAATTATTTTTAGTTGCATAGAGGCATTTTTCCTTAAATAGTGGAAATGGATAGGAGATGACCACCACAAGCTGCAGAAATTATTAGTGACTTTTGATTATCCTCTCACTATTGCTATGGAAACAACCTAGCATGAGTTAAGCTGAAAGATAATTTATAAATGTCTTAATACTTTGGCATGTGTAATATTTATTAACTGTGTAAATTCAAGGGTCTCTCTATATCCCCTGAGTTTATCATAAATGATTTTTTCTGCAGTCTTTTTACATTTAATTTAAAATTTCAGCAGAGCATGAAGTTTATTTTTATCTATAATGTTAAATAGCAGTTTAGTTTCCAAGAGGGTATCTGTTAATTTGAAGTTTTTTCCATGTGATTTTTTTTCTACTATAGGTTTGAGATTTCATTTTAAGTTTTCCTGAAAAAATATGTTTTACTCATTTTTATGAGGAGAGTAAGAAATTGTGTGTGTGTGTGTGTGTGTGTGTGTGTGTGTGTGTGTACACAACCATTTACATATATAGTCATTATTTAGATATACTATATCTTTCTGGAAAGAGAAGCAAGGCTTGATTTTTATATTCCAAATCCTATGAACATATTGATGGCTTTCAGGCCCCTGATTTCTATAGACCACTGAATGAAAGAAAACTCTTATATTGTTGAGAAGACAAAAAAGAAAAAACAAGAGTGTGATCTTTCAAGAACCACTAAAGCAATAAATGTGTTCAGATTGAATTTTTTTTCCCTTCAAAGTTTACTCCGTAAATAATAGATCCCCAGGAGAATTGTTGTTTTATCTGCAGACCCTGGGAAGCAGTAATCAATTGTTTCTTAAGAACTTTGTTCCTTGAAAAGGAGGTGGTTAATACCCTTTTTCTCACTCTAGTGATAATGGGCAGAATGCCATGGTTGTGTTATGCCAACATTACTGGAAAGTGAGAACTAAGAAGCATGAATTTAATTTGAGGTTGCTTGACTCCTTTCAGGGCAGACCTTGGTAAAAATAATATTTACTACATTTCCTATTTTTTTTTTTCTTTTCAGAAAAAAAAGCACAAGAACATTTAACTATGATATTTTGGTGATTTATCTCCTTTATAAAAGACTGCCATATTGCTTTTTCACTTTGCCTTACACGCTGGTAAAGAGAGTCATGGGTTTGTTCAATTATGCTGAAGTATTATGGAATCTCTTTCATCCTCCTAATAACTTGGTTATCTATAGTCAAAGTTGAGACTCCCTGTAATTGCCTTTACAAAATGAATGGTATATCAAAGCTCTAAAACAGCAGTCAATACGCTTGAGTGTTGGAATAGCTGAAGTTATTCAGTTGAACAAAGCTGAGGTTACGTGTACTGAATAAAAGATGAGCTTCAGTTCACTAAACATGACCTCATCTATCAAAGCTCCACATTGCTGACTAGTTAGGACCTCCTCTGAAGGTCAGCAGATCTCATGGACAGCTGCATGGTTCCATTCCTGTTGATCTAGTTAGCTTAAGCATTGGTGATATCAACTGTTTTTAGAGCAAGACTTTTTATTTTTTCTAATGTAGAGTGTTCATGGCACAATAGCAAATTGATCTCTGAGAGATTCGTGCCAAAAGCAACCCTGAAGGCAGTAAGTGAACGTTATGCTCTGCACACACTTTGTTCCCTGTACAACCCCCACCCTTCCCACTGCAGTGGCTGTTGAAGTAAACTTGGCTCCTTGTGTTCTTTCTGACCTTTCATTATTGCACTGTTTTCCACCCTGGAATTCAATATCTTCCATAAAGGACTTGTCACCTCTTTGCAGAGTAATTGCCCTTACTTAATAGACCTGCAGGTAGAAAAGCAGGAAGGCCTGGGGCTATAGTGGCTCTGCATCTGTGGTGACATAAATTGGCAGAGAATAGATCCATTGGAGGAGTTTGGAACAAGATAATCTGAGTTGCAGTTTTTTGTGTTCCTTCTATTTGCCAGGAGAATGGGGCAACTCCCCTAAACCTTTGTCTTTGTACCGGGATTAAATCATTGCTCATAGAAACTGTTTGCATATCCTAAAATTCTTTATTCTAAATGAGGGATGGCACAATATATTACTGTTGTCACCAATATATTTAAATTTAAATGTAACTAAGTATTTAAAACATGCTTTCCTATTTATCTTTACCATTAGGTGCTTGAGAAAAAACAGTCTGGAATAAGAATGTGACTTTACGTAAAAGCAGAAATGATACTGAGTTTGTTTTTTCAGTAATCGTCTTTCTCTTTCACAAAACCACAGCCACACAGAGGGAAAGAGGGTAAAATAGAAAATGTAATTTTCCAAAAAATATAAGGAAACTAGGAATAAAATGATTGAAAGAGATGTATGATGCTATGAAGAAAATATAAACCCATAATCAACAAATCTTTTTGAGGACCTACCATACCGCAGGCGCTGTTCTGGCATTGTATTGAAGAGCCTACATAAAGCACCAACCTCACTGCAAGAGTCACCACAGAGGGGAGGGTGCAGGTAACACATTGAATATAGTACGGAGTATAAGCTTTCAGTTATGACTGTCTTATGAAGTACACATCCTAAGGAGGGAGAAGAATAACAAATAAATAGGTGCTATGCCAGGAAGTATGAAGAAAAATTAAGCTGGGTTGGGGTAGTGCTATAGACGGGATGATAGTTTAGGTAGGGTAGGCAGAAAGTCTTCTCTATAATTGTCACTGGAGCAAATATTTGAATGAAGTAAAGGAGTGAGCCATCTGCATACCTGGAGGGAAAGAATTACAAGCAGAGGGAACTGTATGCACAGGTCTGAATGGGAGCAAACTTATGTATGACATTAGTGGAGTGAGGAAACTGAAACTTATAGACAAGGTAGAAAGAGTGGCTGGTGACCAGGTCCTCCTAGGCAATGGTTAGAGTTTTGAGCTTTAATTCTTAGAGGCGTGGAAAAAATTGGAGTGTTTTGAGCATAGCTGTGCTATAATCTGACAGGTAAAAGTATCCCTTTAGCTACTATGTGGAGAATTGACAAAGGTGGGAGTGGGTGAGCATAGAGGCAGAAGAAATAGTCATACCACACAATTTCAGACATGATAGAGGTTTGCACTAGATGGTAATAGTGAGAAATAAGAACCAAATGAATTTCACATTAAAGAAGATCCAATTAAAAGAAGAAATGTGTAGAGAGATTATATGTCACAAAAATGTCAAATTTCCCCAGTAGTTGTAATTTAAAAAAAAAAAAAGTTGTTTTATGGTGATTGTAAACTATTATAGAAAGACAAATGGCCAAGAATAGGCAAGAATATTTTGAGAGAGAATTATATTTGGGGACAGGAAAGACTTATTTTACCATGGGTTAAGAAGGTAAAAAGCTATAGGAATTGAATCATTGCTGTAGGAATAAACAAGCTGGATAACAGATGAATACATAGCACCAAGACCTCAGAAATCATCCCATGCATTTAGGGATACTTGATATGAGATGGAAATTACATTGAGGAAATGAGGCTATGAAAACTGGGTATAGGTAAACAGCATAAACATTTATCCTTATTTTATACAAAACACCTACATAGATGAAAGACCAAGTGTGCAAAGTAAAATAAACTTATGGAAAAAAAGGAGTATTTGGTTGGCTTCAGGATATTTTTAAAATAGACTTAAAAAGTATATATCATAAAATTATAGTTAAATTCTACTAAATGAAGAAGGGGAAAGACAGACCACAGACTGGAAAAGAGAATAGCAAATATAATCACAAAATGCTGGTAACTAGAATATATAAAACTCCTAAAAAGAGGAATAGAAAAAATGGTCAGAAGACATATAGTTATTTCACAAGAAAGGTAACTCTAAAAACTCTAAAATATGCATATACAAATTTGCTTGAGTTTACTGGTAATTAGGTAAGTGTATATTAAAACCACAATGGCACAAATGGGGGAAAACGACAAAATTAAAAAGAAGGATGACACCAAGTATAGGTTAGCATGTGAAACAACAGGAACTCTTGCACACCAGTAGTGGTATTTTACACGACACACACTTCCAAACCACTTTGTAGGGCAGTTTTGCAATATGTAAAGTTGAGGGTGTACACCCCTCACGATCCAACATGTACCCTTAA